CATTCATAAAAGGATTGTTGCAACTGACACCTTACACTGTAGAACGAGTGATGTAAAAAGCACTACAGTACCCCATATAATAATAAAACAAGCCTTCCACCTAATATTCGATCAATATTTGTTTCTTTAGAAAATCTTTCTGTGGAGGAATGCTCAATTTTTAACATTCCAACCTTCGGAATAGTGTGTTATCGGCTTGATTGTGTTTATTGCGAGATCCTGGCTCATCGTGTTACTTGCTGAGCACTCAATTCGGTCGTGGTGGTTACAGCGCGGTGGCCCAGTGCTTCAACAAGCAAGGCCAAGTTCATCAAAAGCATTGCACATTGTTTCAACATACAAGTGCACTTTCCTTTTTTACAAAGACCGAATTCTCCCATATAATTGCAAAACCGTTAGTAAAATTCATGCGGCATCAACGTCGTTTGAACAATTGTCCTCCTGTCCCGGAGCAATCATTCTGGTGAGTCTACACAAAATGGAGTAAGGAAGTAAGGAACTTGAATTTCGCTCTCAAGAGTGCATATCGTTGTCCGTGACAGGATTTGAACCAATCTAGCACGTCCGTAACGTGAAGCGAGCTCCACCATGGCGCACTTGCACGTGTGAAAAGCCGAAGATGTTATCGCTTGATGGTTTTCAGCGCTTGATGGTTTTCAGTGCGGCCAGCGTGTGATAGTGGTGAATGCCTCCTATCCCATGTTATATGTTTGGAGTTCCAGCCCAGTCATCGTCAGGGATGTTGGTGGCAAACTCTGATCAGAGTAAAATTTAGCTCTTTGGTATGGAATGACCAGAGTAATTGTCCCAGGTGAGGAGAAAGAGCACTGAAATGAGAGTGCTGTGAGCGCGGACTCTACAAACCTCACCAACACGTGCTGTTGTATACGGCGTCTGTCAGTTTGATTGATTTATATGTAAGTATTGGTGATGTACAACCTTGCTTACTGGGCTTTGGCTCACGAGGCTTGTTGCTGTTTTCCATCCACAGACATTGTCGTCAGCACCTGCCTTCGGAGAGTCACTGTACCCTGGTGCTTCCATAGCGTGCATATTACATGTACAACTAAGGCAATCTGTCTTG